TTTACTTGTGTATTTCTTAATGCAGTTCCCTATTGTAAATCACTAATGTGACATAGGTTTACTGTCAAAAGAAAGAAATATTATTATTATTATAGTTAAGAGATCATTTACAGATTTCCATTGTCTGTCTTATTGATATCATAGATGATGTCTTAAAATGTTCAAAACTTGAGTGGAATAAAGAGCACAGTGCAAGCACATCTTTTTGAAGACGACTGAACATATGACACTCAAAGACTTGCCTAAGTCAGATACTATATTGTTGTCTATTTCAGTGTCCCCATGAAGAATGCAGCAGGCGTTTCACCACAGCCTATAACCTCAAGACTCACATACGAACACACACCAGACCTAACACTATAATGTGTGACCATGAAGGATGYGATAAGACTTTCCCTACATTGCACAAGTTTCGTGTCCATGAGAGAAAACACCAACAGGAAGAGAAGCCTTTCAAGTGTGAGGTTTGTATTCAAACTGAACTGATTGATAGTTCATACAAACACCTACACTGTATATGTTTTTCATTACTTTAGATAATTTGAATTAATTTATTATTAGTGCAACGTTGCATGATAAAGGCTGTTCTTTGGATGTCAAAGGCTGAGATGTTGCATGTGACCTTACATGTGGCATGACAGGGGTAGAAATTACTTCTAATCCTGTGACTTTTCATGTAACATTGCACCGTGTGTCTGCACCTTTATTCTCAGTAGGTTCATTAAGATAAAGTTCTTTCCCACTATCCCCATTGTGTCACAAGGTCGTGGCCAACTGAGACTCTGAGATTCATTTTTCTGACAAGCCTTCTTAMGATACTGAACTTATCGTTATGTTACACTTTAGTGAGATTGACGTATCTTACTTTATAATCGTCCTATTGTATCATTGAATCAAGATCGACGGGTGCGGCAAAGAGTTCTCAGCAATGGGACCACTGACGTCACATTTGAAGAGCCACAGTGGAGAAAAACCTCATGGKTGCCCTATGGAAGGATGCTGTAAGAGGTTTACCAAGGCTTCGAAGCTAAAGCTTCATTTGCGAACACATACAGGAGAAAGACCTTTTAGGTGTGACTTTGAGGCAAGTAAAACCACAGGCAGCCCATTGGATTTTTCATAACTTTATAAGGTTATGGACGTAGTYCAATAATGCAAAGTGCTATAGAGGTTATYTTTCTTTCCCTGYTCAGGGTTGTGGATGGTCGTTCACGAGTGCATACAAGCTCAAGAGGCACATGCGTAAGCATACCGGAGAACGTCCCTTCGTGTGTATCTACGAGGGCTGTCACAAGTCGTTCACGCGGTCCAGTCATCTAAAGACCCATACGCTTGTACACACAGGAGAGAAGCCTTACGTCTGTCCCATTGACGGTAAG